AGGGGACATGGATGGATATATATATATATATATATATATATATATTGAACCATAAAATGAAATACCCCAAATATAAACAAAAACAAAAGAGAACCAACAAAAAGGAGACATAAAGTGAATATGGATTGTATTTCTTACAGATTAACCAAGTCTACTGCAATGTGTATGACAATAATAACTATAAATAAAAGCAAAGACATGTTTTTGGCGGTCCCCAGTGTTTTTTCTCATCATTCTTTTTCCTGTCTTCTGTTACTTGTCGCCGCAATAGACACCAAAATGTATCACAAACTAAACCTGTTTCTCGGGCGGGCTAACCCGTGCACAACTCGGTTTGACCTGGTTCAGCTCGGTATTGTAGTATTTGGGGGCGGGCTGAGACGGGCTGGGCGGGTAGCGGGTTTTAGCCGAATACTTTTTGAAAACTGGTGCATTGGAACTCGCTAAGCCTGGTTACTTGTTAATGGGTTTTTACCGGGCTACAGCCTGGTCCAGCCGGTTTCCGTTGCAATTTTTTATTTTTATTTTTAATTTTTTGGACCGTTGCCAACTGTCAAATTTAAAAAGAGAATTTTTCATAAAGCACTATCTTTTAGGTGTAATTAGCCATTTATAGATACCTTTTGCTATATTACGTATTATAGATACCTTTTATGTGGTTATGAGATGTATTTAAGCTATTGTATTCATTAATAAGCATAAATAGGCGTGAAAAAGGGAATTCCAGCTAAGCTTGATATGTATTCGACTGTATTCACGCGGCCTTATCGTGAATACAGTAACGTATTTCGCGTAAAACCTGGAAGGTTGAACTTGTTTAAACGGAAAGGAAATCAATTCACCTGATATTCTCCTAATTTAACTCAACTAACAAAAACTATTACCCATTAATCTGTATTCTTCCATTCACGATTCAACAAGAAAAATAGCGAAAACAAGAGCAACTTCTGGAATTTGAGTTCTCCCTTTTCTCTGTACCCATTTCTTATTTCAACCACGCAAAAGTGCGATTGATACAATTGTATACAAAATACGGTATAATTTCATTATACATATGGCAAGTTTAACAGTGTTGTTGCGTCATTCTGGCAAGTGGAACGATGAAAGCAATTATGTCGATTTTTCAATTGAGGGAATACTGATAAAGGAGTATGCGTTGTATAATGATTTGGTTGCGTCAATTTCTAATCAACTGGGCATAGATTTGAGCACAAAGTCCATTAAAATTCAATACAAAGTAGAAGTGAATAGCACGCCAATGGAAATACACAATGACATGGGTTACAGGGTGTATGTAGAGTATAAAAAAGAGAACAGAGAATTCGGGATGTATCCTTTGTGCATAACAACGATTGAAAAAGAACTTGTATCCGGTGGTAGTTTAATTCAAGGCGATATTGTGCAAATAGACGAATCACTTCAAAGGTATGATTCCGGTACAGATGATACGCTTGCTCTAGATTTTGTCAATTCAGGAGAAGCAATTGGGTGTTTGAACTGGACAAGGATTTGATAATTTCAAAAACTAATCAAAGGGAGGTTATGGTTGGACAAGTATATAAGGATAAGGCTACATTGAAAGAGGTGATGGAGAATTATGCTATATCTCAAAGGTTCCAATTCCGGGTTGATAGGTCTAATGCTGTCAGGTTTGCGTGTATTTTTTTTTGTATTTTGTATTATTTGTTGGAGCTGTAAGTTAAACGTTGATGTATTTATGCGTATTTGTGGATTTTCACTTGATCTTCACTGATGTGTTTAAAATCTGTTTGTTTATGGTCTTTAAATACATGTATTCATATGTATTTTACTGGTATAATTACATTACAGTGTCTCTAATTATTTTCCTATTTTGTTGACTGTTTTTTTTAAGTGTACGCATATAACTATAATTGTATTTAGTTGTATTCATTGTATTTAAATGTTTATAACTATAATTGAATTCAGTTGTATAATAATTTATATATATAGATGTTAGAATGTATTCATGTCAGATTGTATTCATGTGTATATGAGTGCATTTTTGGTAAACATTTATGCTAATCATATGTATAATGATAAATTCTTTGCAGCTATGCATTATTATGTATGTCAGAAGATTGTGAATGGAGGCTTAAGGCTTCAAGCATTAACAAATCAGAACTATTCAAAGTGAGAGAATTCATTGATAACCATACATGTCCGCTGAAGGACAAGGTGTATGAGCAGCGACAGGCAAGTAACAGCCTTATAGGTGGTATGATTAGGCCTAAGCTTACTAATCATAAGAGGAAATACACCCCAAAGAATATTATTGATGATGTGAAATCAGATTTAGGTGTAGATGTTAGCTACATGTTGGCGTGGCGGGCTAAAGAAAAGACAATGAATTTTTTGAGAGGTGAACCGGCTGATTCATACAAAAAATTACCAGGATACTTATATATAATGGATATGACATATCCAGGTTCCCACATCAGAATGGTAAAATCGCCCAAAAATGAATTCATGTATGTGTATATATCTTTGTATGCCTTTATAAAGGGGTTTGATCATTGTAGACCCATTGTGGTTGTGGATGGAAGTCACCTAAATCTTACTACACCGGGACATTCGTTTCGGCAAGCACGTTGGATGGTGCAGGTGAGTACATGAATTATAATAAATTCTGTTAATATTTTAAAGATTGAAATACATGTTTTAAAAATATGTATTCAATTGTCTTTACATGTCATATATTGCCACTAGCATATGGTGTTATTGATTCAGAGAACGATGCTGCTTGGACGTGGTTCTTTGAGCAATTCAAGATAGCATACGGTGACAGGGAAAACATGTGCATCGTTTCAGATAGAAATGTGAGTATCATTAAATCTGTATCGAGAGTGTATCCAGATGTACCGCATTTTGCATGTATATGGCATCTATGGAACAACATATATAAGAAATTCAAATAGAGCCATGTAAAGTTGAGCGAGATATACTTCTCGATGGCAAAAGCATACACCAAGCTGAATTTGACAGTCTGATGGAGAAGGTGGACAAGGTAGATATTATGGTGAAAGAATACTTGGAGTTAGCTGGATACGAAAAGTGGGCTAGGTTGTATGCACCTGTTAATAGGGGATGGACCATGACGTCAAATCTTGTCGAGTCAATCAATGCCGCACTAGTGTCAGCAAGGGAATTGCCAATATACGACTTCCTCGAAGAAGTTAGGAAGATGTTTGGACGTTGGAATTGTAGTAACCGCAAAGAAGCTACAGAGACATACACAACGCTTGGAAAAAAATACCAGGAGATGCTGACTTTGAATGAGGCAATGTCTACACGCATGACCGTAAGTTTTATTTTAATGTCATTGTATTAGATAGCTTAATTGTTTTCTGAAATAACTTATACAAAATTTTTTAGATAGACGTATTCAGTTGTATTGTCATGCAGTAGCCTTATAATGTTTTTTTTTTCAGCTGCCTAAAGTTAAGCAGATTTTTGATGTATGTCATTGTATTCATAAGCTAAGATGTAATTATAGTTTATAGTCTGCCGGTCTACATATATGATGTATTCTTCTGTATTCAAACATTTCAGTTGTATGCAACTGAACAATTCAACATTATACATAAAGAAATTCATTTATATGTGCTCAAAACTTATAGGTCTATGTTTAAATATAGGTGGTACCATCGACTGAAAACTTACATACGGTTGACGATGGAGGGAGGCATCACACCGTCTGCCTGTTAGAGAGAAAATGCGTTTGTGGGAGGTTCCAAGTTGATGAATTACCATGCCCACATGCTTGGGCTGTATTGAAGAGCAAGTTTCTAAGGCCAGAAGATTATTGCTCTAACTATTACAAACCAAATTCTGCTGTAATGACATACGATGTGCCTGTGTACCCGCTACCGGACAGAAATGACTGGAATATACCAGCACATGTTGTAGAGGAAGTTGTATTACCACCCAAATGGAAAAGACCTCCTGGAAGGCCAAAGAAGAAGCTCGATAAACCTTTCAGTGAATTGCTGCAGCCGAATAATCAACATTCATGTAGCATATGTGGGCAGGGAGGACATAACAAGCAAATGTATAGAAATGCTCCACGTAGGATTTAGTTAATACTCTGACATGTATTAGTGCTCCAACGATTTGTCATTACTTCTGATGACATTGTCAAGTAATAAATTTTGAAATGCCTTTCGTGAATAGATTCTGGATACATTTAGTTGCAGTATTGTGTTGAATACATTCGAATACAACTTTGTCCACATATACTTAGACAATTTATTAAAGACAGTGCCTGAGTTGTATATACATAACTAGTCTAAATACATCGAAATACAACTATATACTCAGCTATAATATAACAATTTCAATAAATACATATAACCTGAATATATTCTGGATACATTTAGTTGCAGTATTGTGTTGAATACATTCGAATACAACCTTGTCCACATATACTTAGACAATTTATTATAGACAGTGCCTGAGTTGTATATACATAACTAGTCAAAATACATCGGAATACAACTATATACTCAGCTATAATATAACAATTTCAATAAATACATATAACCTGAGTAAGTAAAATAAATACATGAAGTTGAGTACATAATACAGTTTCTGACTTTGATATACAAGCCAAGTGACTGAATATTAATACATACTTATATGCCCTGTTGAATACGTATGAATATATCCTGTAAGATACATATGAATACAAACTGAAGATTAAGCATGAATACTTATGAACAAAACAATGAAACATAGATTGAAAAGTTGCAATTGTCATATATGAACATTGTTGATAAAGTGATTAAAACATAGTTTTTTCTAATTGAATACCATCTTCATCAAAAAACTATTCAAAAAACAGTATTCACCTAAAAACAACCTTCCAAAACTACAAACGCCTAAAGCTACTCTAACACTATCTGCAACTTTGAATCTGACTCCGTAATTTTCCTAGCAATCTTTGAGGGTGCTTCATTCTCGCTTATGGCATCCGCGTCTATCTTCCGCATAGCATAGTCCCAGAGGAGAGCACCATATCTTTGACGGAGTAGATTGGAATCAAATGCTGTTTGTGGAATCTCACCAAGAGTGCTCAGAAACTCTGCGTATGCCGCAACATGCACCCCACAATCTCTGAAAAATGTTGATTGAAACAATTAAAAATAATTCATACAATTAGATTTTTAAAATGATACAAGAATGATGATTGAATACATACATGCTCCCAGCTTTCTGTTGAGGCAGATTTGATATGAAAACAACTTCAAAGGGATCAGTATGTGACTTGTCAGTGTATGCTGAGTAAGTAGACCAATCTATTCCTTGACTATCTCTATAAAAGCCACTCATTAATAGATACAGAGGTACAAGCTTAGCTAGCTTATCTATCTCAAAAGCTACATATGCATCATGACCTGCAGATCTGTAGGAGTCATACACTTTGATACATCTCTCCTTGAATGAGACAACAGCCAATATCCAGTGTAGTTTGTCCTTCAAGTTGACTGGTATCAAGACATTGTCAACAGTATGCCAAGGTACATTAGCTAGCAATCTGTAGCCCCTTATGTACTCACATACCACATCCTCTTCTTTGGCTATATTTGCATTACTATCTGTATCAGCATACCTGTCGAAGATTTCAACGATTCTTGTCTTGAATATACAATCAACAGTTGTATACTTGAAGTTGCTTGTTTGGTTGTACTTTCCCTTCTTTCTCAGATAGTAGAATATAACGTCAATATGCTATACACAAATTTAATTACATAGTGTTAGTCCAATTAATCAAACTAAGAAAAAGAAACTGAATATGATAAGTGAAAACTCAGTTAAATACATCACACAGATTCAAGAATAATACATCTGAATACAGTAAAATACATCTGAATACACTTTAATACAGCAGATATTCAAGAATAAACAGGCCATTAAATACATCATAGAGATTCAGTTAAATACATCTGATATTTACAACTACAGAGTAATGTTAAAATACATCTGAATACATTTAAATACATGTTGTTATTCAAAACTAATGAGTGAATTAAATACATAGTACTGAAATACATCTGTTAGTTACAACTACTGATAATTTTGAAAATACATCTGAATACAATAAAATACAGCAGTTATTTTAACAATAATGATGCCATTAAATACATCATACAGATTCAGTTAAAAACATATTTTATTTTCAACTACTAAGTAATGTTAAAATACATCTGAATACAATTAAATACAGTAGATGTATTAGTTACATCTGAGTACAATTGAATACATCAAAGTAATGTAAGTCAAATTTGGGTTAGAGCTCAATTTGTGAATTATACAATTATACAAACCAATACTAAAGAAATGTATTATAGTGGAGTTGGAATGGGTAAAACTTACATTGTCATCCCATAGTTTACCGTCAAACGATAGAAGGTAAAACCAATTTTTTGAATTGACTTGATCAACTCCAAAATCCAATGGTATATGAAGTGTTGACTTGTTCTTCTTGTAACGGTCTTCCAAATTACTTCTACAAGTATGATATAAAAAAATATTATATCCATTTTTAAAAATATAAATACGTAATAGAGATACCGGTAAAAAACTCACTTCTGCTCATGTCTAGCAAGAAGACCATCACGAACCCATTTGTCGTATTCCTGAATGATTAATGTAGGATGCGGCCCCATTATTGAATCATCCTCAAATGGGTGTCTTTTTTCAAAAATGGGGGTCAATTTTATTGAGGTACCTGTTGTTCATTGAATTCATATATACAGAGTTTTAATTATAAAAACAATGGGGAAATAGATAATTAGTTTATACAACACTAACCTGCGGAGTCGAAGTTAGACTCGTAAGGCGAAGATACCATCTACTTGGTCGCCGATTCCTATGAGATGGTACTGGGGTTGATTCAACTTTTTTTGCACCGTTGTGTATCACAATTCTAATTTCTGGAATTTGACTGGGAAGAAACTTGTCGTCCAGCTCAAATTGAGATACATAGTAATCTGTAGATACACCCTCTTGGCCTATAGGTGGTATGTTGCACGGCACCTCTGATGTAGTATTCCCCTCCACTCTTGACTCCACACAAAGAGCATTAACTACTGCATTCTGTTAGACGTATGCATCAATGTTAGAAGTATGTTCAATGAATACATCTGAATACATGTCTTAAGAATATATGTTAGAAGTATGTTCAATGAATCCCCTTAAGAATACATCTGAATACATATAAATACATTATATATTTTGGGTAAGAATGTAAAATGCAACCTAAACTGGGAAAAGTTATAAACATTACTATATAGAGGAAAAGCTTAAAATGAAATACAAGTAATCAATGTTGTAAATATATATGAAATAACATGTANTGTAGAAATAAAGTCAGGAAAATACAAATGCATATAGGATTAAGATAATTAAAAATACTGAATTATTCTGTATATACTTGTATTTCACAATGTTACAAAATTGTTTTATATATGATTAATCCGAATAAGAGCAAACAGGAGATATAAACATATACTAAAGAGGTTAAAAAATATTAAACCTCAACATTATCGCCGACAACTGTATCAGTCTGTCTGTGACCTTTTGGAATATCTTGCAAGTTGACATCATATGGCATTTCAATACCATCATCACGTCTCCCCGTGGTTTCCTTTCTCTGGTGTAAGCTTTCTTTTTGCTGATTGTGTTGAAGATGGTCAGCAAACATCTTAAAGTTATCATTGATCAATGATCTCAGAGACTTGAATTCGCCCACAACCTTAGCAAGACAGAAATAATTAGAAAAGTGCATTTGTACACATACGAATGTTAAACACTAAACTGTAATATTTAATGTGTGGATAAAAAACTCACGTATTCTTCGAATGAATTTAGGTCTTTCCTCAAAGAAGTTACTTCATCATTTTTGGAATCTGCCAGCTGATTGTGATGCAAAATTTTTTGTGCAATTTCAGATACACCAACTGGAGGAGTCTTGGATTGATTCTCTGTATTTGAGGGATGAATAGTCTGTTCCTTACACTTTTTATGGGGCGGTGATGAAGATGGACCAACACTTGCAGCATGTTTCTTCTTACACTGGAGATCAGGTGTAGGAGAAAAGTCATCCGAATCCTCTGCCGACTTGTCTGAATGAGTAGGAGTAGGATTGTTCTCAACAGCAACGCCTACTGGAGGAATCTGAATAACGGCAAGCTCTATATCGGTTGGATGGATGTCCTTGTAAACAATCTGAAAAACGAAATACAATCAAAGTCTTACTACAATGGATGTATGCAAATCTGGAATCAAAATGTAGTTTGTATTCAAAGCAGTAATGATTAGTAAATTATATGCAACTGTATTCAACTGTATTAATGAAGGCATCAGCAACTGTATTCAAGTTTCAATTAACCAAATATGCAGCAGTACTAATGAAGGCAGGAACAACTGTATTCAACTGTATGAATCTGTATGCAGCAATAACTGTATGCAAATGTATGCGGCGGTACTAATGAAGGCAGCAACAACTGTATTCAACCGTATGCAGCTGTATGCAGCAATAACTGTATACAAATGTATGCAGCATTAAAGATTAGTAAATTGTAAACTATCAGGATACAAATTGTAAATTACTATGTTTCCCTTGTCATTGAACATGCCGTTCATCAGATAAGCAAAGTTTAGCTGATTTCCAGTGGATCTCCAATTGAGTATTCTGGGAACCACGTTATCAACTCGGAGTGCAATTTTGGGATCAACATTAGAACAGCACTCATAAAACCACACTTGCATAGCTAGAGGCATCCCAGCTATCGTGTAGTACTTCTTCTGAGCATCCATCTTCTTGCTAATAGATTTTGTTAGGCTTTCAAATGCTTTTATACCCCATGGATATTCAGAATAGCGCCCACTCTCGACCAGGTCAAAATGTAGCCTTGGGATGGTTGTGCTGTTCTTCTCGGATGAAAAAATGAAAGTGTGTATTAAATACAACACAGGTATCTTTAAGGCATCCCCATCGTTGTCGTTACCCCAATTCTTGTCAGCAAAGCATTTCATCAAAACTTTCTTTTTGACATGATTGGCACCTCCAAAGTAA